ATTGAAGTATAACTTTAATTTATTTTAAATTTAATTAAACAAGAACCTATAACAAACTTTTTATTAAAAAAATCTAATATAAAATCAAGTAAACCATTATTAGTTTTCTCCCTAAATTTTTAGGACGAGCACGATTTTTTACACTCGTATCTAAATTAGCAAGCGTTTTTTATTGGGCCCGCAATTTATAAATATTCCATTAACAAGCGTGTTTCATGCGATCATAAAAAGCGTGTTTCATGCGATCACTCCAACTTCATGCCAAGGCCTGTTGAATTACAACAAATTGAAGAGCATCAAATAACAACAACTGCTTCACAAATGTACACAGTAAATTCAACAGCTTGGTCAGAGATCATAGCTAACCCCAAATCAACAGCAGGCTTGGTCAGGAAGCGGGAGCGATCGCTCTCGATAGCTGACCGCGTAAATAATATTTAGTTGCGAAAAACTGGCCAGACTTTTATATCGTTTTGAGAACATTTTAAAAAGCAAAAAAAAAAAAAGCGACAAAGATTAATTGGACCGATAAGAGACAATTACAAAAAAAAAAAAAAAGTAGGCAAATAAAATATCTTTATATCTAAATAAATTACATTTAGAACAAATATTTTCGAAACATCGCTCTTTTATAATTTTTTTTATAAAATTAAGCGATGTTTTTTATATAAAGTAACAACTAACGATTGTTTAAAAGGGAAACAAATATTTTTTATTTAACTAAGTTTGCAAGTTTTAGTTTTACTTAAGCTTAATTTATTATATAAATAAAAAAGTTAATTTTTTTAATACCTATTTTATGTTTCGCGTAGTTTAAAAAGTTTAACATATTTGAAGCGATTCTTTTCAAATGAAATAATTAAGTCATTGAATTACTATAAGAATTAAATTATCAAGATAGAAATCAACTAAAAAGGTTAAAAATACTTAATGACCAGGAAGCGAAACTGCTTCACAATATCGCTGATGATGTTTAGTGAGTGAGCTTTTTAATTTAAATTAGTATTTAAAGCAGAAAAAAGTATAACGAGTTTAAAGAATGGCAACTTAAGTGAAAATAATTATAGTTAGTAAACCAATATCTAGAAACTTTTCCTTATATCTAATTATTTGCTATATATATTCGTGTTCTCAGCTTTTGCTATATATATTCGTGACCTCAGGCGCGATGCTTGTTCATCCACGAGTTACTTTGTATGCGTTGTTTGTGTTTAGTAACCAGAAACTTCTTATATGTTTGTTACATAATTAGTTTTATTAACTTTAACGATAATATCTTCATTGAAAACGCAATTATTTTTGTAAGTCTTTGTTTAAATCATAAAAATTGCTTTAAAAGATACATTACGATAAAAAACAAATACACAAAATTACATTTACATAAAGAATACAATCTCTTTTAAAATAAAAAATAAAAATATACTAATAAAATCTATGATTTATATTAAACTTATAAAATTTTAACAATTTAATTAATATATATTTAAAACATTTATTTTCGTAAACAAATAATATATATTCTTAAAACAATGCTAATAATCTCAAAACGTAACAAATCGTGAATAATACAATTTCTAAAACATTTTAACAGAATACTCTAGAAATTTATTTTGCTTAATCAGCGTTTTTTTTGAACCAATAGAATTAGTTTGTTTGTTAATTTGGCGGGTTTTTAGTGTTCGCAAATAATCTTTTTATTCTTTCCCACAAAGATGTTTTGAGAACATTCAAGTTTTTTATGTTTCCATGTATGTCCGTAAAACAAAAATTTTTTGTTTCGTAAAAGTCTAAAAAACCTGGCCAGTTTTACGCAACTAAATATAATTTCCGTGGTCAGTATTCGAGAGCGATCGCTCCCGCTTCCCGACCAAGCCTGATCAACAGCAGTAAAGGCTATTGTAAAGGTTACTGAACCAAATAATAAGATGAAAGCAACTAAAGCATCTTGTGTAGTCATTTATGGTCTTGCTTGCACAAAAAGTCATGATGATGATAAAGCTGCTGTAAAAGGTGTTATTGAGGTCATTAAAACAAGTTCCACTCACAAAATAGTCCATAAGCTTCCAGAAAAAAAAAAGTGCTCAAAAGGACTCACTAGCTACTCAACCGATTGTTGTCTAATTTGAAGACACGGAAACTAGAAACAGTATACTATCTTCTGCAAAAAAGCTATCAAAAATTAACAATTACAGAAACAAGGTTTTTATTAGTCCAGATCAAACTCCTTCTGAGGTTGATACTTTTAACAAGCTTAATAAAAACAGGAAAAAGTACAATGAGGCTCTAAAGACAAATAATGCACTTAATCAGCCCTTTCAATTTGTCATCTGAGGAGGGAGGCTCAAATGCATCAACACACAAAAAACAATACCAACGGTACTAAAAAAATTTTTTAAGAAGCTTGCACAGCTGCAGGACTATCCTATATCATTCCAGTCTGAACAATTTGCAAATCAATCAGCAGATATGTCAGCACCAAACAAAAACAATCTTCATCAGAATGAATCAAAATCTCTCCATTGCTTCTATACCAATGTAACTTCACTCAATAAAGACAAAATTACTGAACTCCAATTATTAGCTGAACAAAACAAATTTGATCTAATTTCTATAACTGAAACTTGGTTCGATTCTACTTCTGTTCCATCAATCAATAACTATATGCTATTTAAGAAAGATAGAACCGGTTATGGAAGTGGTGTAGCAATTTATGTTCAAAATGATATAATGGCAAGTGAACTAGACAATTCGCAGTTAAATGAAAACTTTAAATGCAAAGAATCTGAACAACTTTGGGTTGAAATAAAATTACCATCAGAAAAATTTCTTGTGGTCGTATTTATTGCCCTGAATAGAACTTGCCAACTGCTTCAGTATAATAAGTTGTCAATAAATTATGCCACGCTCTATCGAGGAGAGGGGGTTAGTGGTTTTGTGACTTTTGTGACTTCGGCGGTTTTTGTGGTTTGTGGTTTTGTGTTTACAAAACTTGCTAATAAAGTGTTACAATTTTATGATGAGGGGGGGGGGGGGCAAAAACAATCAAAAATTGTGTAATGTAATTAATGGACAACTCCTATAAAAGATATTTTAAAATAGCAATATAAAAGATTTTTTAAATGTTAAACTTAAAATGATATTAAAAATTTATGGAGAAAAGCAGTTCATAAATGTTTTGATCTTTCACATTGAATAATGAGAAATGTTCTTCTCCTTTATATAATACTTCTATTTTGTTGAATTTTTCATTTAGTCCATTTATTTGGATAACCCTTTTCATCCACTGAATTGGATGCTCAAAATATAAAAACAACCTCGAAAAGCTATAAGTTCTTTTTATAGTGAAGAGGGGGGGGGGATCTGTTTATTAATTACACTTACAAAATAGGGGGAGATAGATGTCTGAAATTTTTTTACTATTGTTGACAAGAAGGAGGGGGGAAGTAAAGACATGTTGACATCAATGTTACTTTTTTAAATAAATTTAATTACCTAAAAAAAAGAAAATTAGGCAGTGTTTGCAGTCCTGTGTTACACACTCACTTAACCTCAACTTTCAGTATTTTAATAAAGCTATTTATATTCCTACTTTTTAAAAACTGTTTTGTGCTTTAAAAGGACCCAACACATACAGAATTAAATAAGCACACACAAGATGTTTATTTAACACTATTATTTTTTCAAAGTTTATAGTCTGTTAAGCAAACAAAAAAGATTTATGCAAGTACATAATATAAGTTTACATTGTTATATATAAGTCTACATTATGTTATTTGTCTATACCAGGGATCGAAACCTGCAACTCACAAGCCTCATTTAGTTCTTTCAATGTCAAGATGTAGTTCTTTAGCTTCACGCACAAATATTAATATAATGTTAAAATAAAGATGTTGGAAGTTCTTTAAAAACTGAAAATCTTTGTAAATTGTAACTTTTGGCTTTTCCTCAAAAAGTTGCTGACCCCTGCTTTATGCAATTTTTTAAATGCATTTTTTCTTATACTAGACTCTATTAGAAAATAATAATTTGCTTTCGTTGTAAAATCAGATTAGGTCTAAAGTTAAAGTGAGGAGAATTGGCACAATTACAGATTGTGACTCTGCAATGTACATAAATTATGATAATTATTTAACGTTTCATCAAAAATGATTCATTCAGGTGAGGAGGGTAATCGAATATTGAGGTAATTTAATGTGGAAGTTTGACAAATTGTTGACAAGGGGAGAGGGCATAGGTTATTCGAGATCCTTTTTGACAGCATTGAATGCATTTGGCTGATATATGAGCGCCGCCCAAATTTGATAAATTGAGAACAATTATTTTTTTTTCACAAAAAAATGCCTACATATGACAATGCCTTTGTCAAATTTCCTTACGATAGGAATCAGCACAGAGGGTAATGCTGCCCAAACTATTTTCCTTAAATAGTCCCAGGGGAGAAGGGGTGGTAGAAATTGCCAAACATATACTTATACAATACATAGCTATAGGCATATTGCAAGACATGTATACAATCCACAGCAAATTTAACATCTATTAAGAAACTCCCTTTAGCTAACTTATCATTTTCTTACTCCTGATTCCATTCTCTACCTCTAAAAATCTCTTACTCATCCTTGGAATAATACTGTCATATTTCGGTTGTTTCTTCTAAAGATGCCCTCTTTCTTTTAGGCAAAGTTTAAAAACAAGTAGTAAATTCAAAAAAATAGGGATCCACTATAGCTTTGGAGCTTGAGTCTTTGTCCCAGCGTTGTAAGGTTGCATCACTATATCTAATTCTAGAAATAGTTATAACTCTAGAAATAATTGCAACTTAAACAATATTGGGTCTTTATAAGTTTGTGCCTAACTTATCTAAACTAAAATATTATTTTAAAAAATTTAAAACATACTTAAAGAAAATTAACATAAAATATAAATTTATATAAAAAATGTATTAATTAGTTTTTACTTTTTCAGTGATACTTATAAAACTATATTTAAAAAATGCTCAGTACTTGATTTCGCATCCTTTGTTTGAGTTCTTCATCTTCATGATCCATGTTTAACAAATTAACAAATTAGTATCTGTATTAAAAAGCTTTTGTTTAATAAAATTTATAATAAGCATACTTCATTTTTAAATTATACATAAATATATATATTTATGTATAAAATAAAAGTTTTTACCTACGCAAATATAAACAATATTTACAAAATACTAACCTATTAAAGCTAATATTTAGATGTTTAGATCTTAATTTTTAAAAATAAAATAAAGGGCTAACACATGTAGCATATTAAAATCATTCATAAAACTTATTCTTAAACAAAATCCTAAAAATTCTAATAACCTTTTTATTAAACTGGTAATTTAAAAAGAGTATTGCATGTTAATGGTTGACAAAATAAGGTTAACTCCAAAAGTCAAACAAACCGCATCTCGTATCTAAGGTCAGATAAAATTTAGATTTAAAAAGTTTTTAATAAAATTTTTTAGACTTTTTGATTTTTTAAAATTAACACCAGTTTTAAGTAATATATTATAATTAAATGAAATAACTTATTTTTTAAGAGAGCCTTGTTTAACTGGTTATTTATATGTGAAAGTTGCTTACGATTATCATAATTTAAACGCAGTTTAATTTTACATAAAGATAAACACACAGGTGAAAAAAAGAAAACATAAATTTCTAATTAATTTTAATTTTCTTTGAAAAAAAAATGTTTTACCGGTGATTTCGTATCACCGAGCCAGGCGCGGGTTCAACCGCAAGCATTTCACCGAAAAAACGTTGTCCATCGCGTTTGTTTGACCAGGTTCTAACTGACATTTTTTCCAAAATTGAGATTATGGCTTTCTTGTACTATTTGTATCACAACAAACAAAATAAACTAAAATTTACTGCAATCCTTAACTGTCAGTCAATGTAACGTTTAACTGTGTCTAGTCGCAACGGTCAGGCATGTAGGTTTTATACCCATCGCTTATCTCTTACGGTCAGTTAATCTATGTATAATTTTAAATATAGTTGATGAACAAAATAATGTAAATTTAATTTACTATATCATATACATTAGTAATATTAGAAAAATCAAATAGTTTATAATAAAATTCTCATACCAAACCATTATTTATGGAGATGAAAATACTTAATATTTACGAGCTCAATGTTTATAACATTTTATGCTTTATTTACATGTGGAAAAACGATTTAACTTTACCTGTCTTTAAAAACCTTTTTTCTCTAAACCCAATTAATAAATATTTACTTAGAAATAAAAATTTTGTACATGAACCTATTTGCAGAACAAAATTTAACAAATTTTGCATTACATTTCGAGCACCCTATCTTTGGAATAAAATTGTTATACCTAATTTTGATATATCCAATACATTTCCGATCTTTAAAAGTAAACTTAAAAATTTTATTTTATCTATTGATGATATATTTAAATACTTTTTATAACAATCACGTATTTGTCTTTTTAATTGTAAGACTGTTGTATTTTCTCTTGCCTTTTAAAAGAAGAGATGCATTACTGTATTTACTATGTTTATATATGTATTTATATATTTACGTTTTTATAAGATCTGATGATATGATCAGACTTTTTATTATATATACCATTAGTGGTTTGATTTATATTTCCAATTTATATCACGATTTATTGAAATTTTTTAGTTTTGTTTTGTTAATGTATTGGTTTTAAAAAATTTGTAAAAGGTTCTGATGATAAGATCATTATGATCTTCTTTCAGAAGCCTTGTCTGTTTATCTTTGTAAACAACGACAAAAATGAAACGAAAAAAAAAAAAAATGTTTATTAGCAATGTTAAAAAGCAGGCTGTGTTAAAAATAAAAAAGATTTTTATAAGTTACTTATGTTTTTATTTTACAACTTTTAAATATTGTTGTTCGATTTCAATTATTGTATTTATTTATTTTTTTTTTGCTCCATACTTACTGAATACTTGGATCTGTCTCTAATGTTGAATCACATTGAATTATAACTTCGTCTGTGTTCTAAAAAAGCAGTGTTATATAATAGTTCTAAACAAAGTTTAAACAAAGGGCTAAGTTAAAGCGTCATTCGGCGACATTTCGGTTAATAATAATTTTTAGCATTTTGTCAATTATTTAAACACAACAAAATTTTTTAACGGGAGGCTGCATAAACGCGAATTGGCATTATGCGCACTGGCATAAGTGCGAAGCGTTGCAAAAACTAGCATAAGTGCGATCTGGCATATGCGCAAATTAGCATAAGTGCGCCGAACAAATTTGCAAACATTGGCATAAGTGCGAATTGGCATAAGTGGGAACTGGCATAAGTGCGAAGCAGTTACAAAAAATGGCATAAGTACAAACTGGCATAACTGCGAATTGGCATTAGAGCGCCGAATAAAATTTCAAATATTGGCATAAGTGCAAATTAGTATTTCGCACTTATGCCAATTCGCACTTATGCCAATGTTTGCAAATTTGTTTGGCGCACTTATGCCGATTTGCACTTATACCAGTTCGTATTTACGCCATTCGAACTTATGCCAGTTCGCACTTATGAAATTCGCACTTATTCAGTCGTCCCTTTTTTAATAATGGAATCGCTTCTTTATTTGCTAAGAAACAATCTTTTGAATGCTAAGAAAAAATTTTCAAATACAACAAAATACATTTTGCCGCAAAATATTTTTTTGGAATAAAAATCTCATAATCAGAGTAAAAATTTAATTTATGCGATGTTTACTTTAATTTATGCGATGTTTACTGTTCAATGGAATTTATCATATCATATTTTGAACTTAATTAATTCTAATAATATCTATTACCATAAATAAATATTAATTAATTGCCTTCCTTCATGTCAATAAAAATGAATATTCGGAAACAGCCAGTTCGGGGCAAGCGGACTGGCAAGATGACAAGCTTGTGTTTAACAGAAATGACTTTGCTGCTGCAAAAACTACAGACCATGGTGTTGTTGGTGATAAAACTGAGAATAATAGTGATAATTTTCAGACCGTTATAATAGAAAAAAAAATTATAAACTCTCCAGAAGAACCAAAACTTATTGCAAATGCTGAATCCAATGCGCCAAAAAAGTCTGTAAGTGTTTTTGATTTAAAACCATTGCCTAAAGCAAAACAATAGCTGCAAAACTTATCATTTGTTAAACAATGTAATATAGTAGAAAAAAAATGTATTTAACCTTTTTTTTTAGTGTTGTCATCTTGCCCCAAGGTCAAAATCATCTTGCCCCGGTACTTAGACGAGATGAAAACTTGATATGGTTGTGGAAAAATGAAATTATCCTTTATTTCTTTCATTTAAATAATTAAATTGTAGTATATTTGATGCCACAAATGGTTAATCTAATAGTTCATGTAAAATTAATTTTACTGTCCTTAAAAATAAAGTAATAAACAACTTAAATTGTTAACGTAGTCTCCTTGCGCCGGTCTCCCCTATATATATATATATATATATATATATATATATACATATATATATATATATATATATATATATATATATATATATATATATATATATATATATATATATATATATATATATATATATATATATATATATATATATATATATATATATATATATATATAAATATATATATACAAGGCCGGCGCGAAGGGTGTGTGGGGGGTGTAACACCCCTCCCCCCCCCCATCAATGATTTTTATTCGGCAATTTCGATCCTTAGTCGGCAAATTTGACCCTTTTTGACTAGTAAGTCGGCAAATGTCGACCCTTTCGATATAGGTTAGTCGGTAATTTAGACAGTTAGTCGGCAAATGTCGTCATGGCAGTCGGCAAAAATATATATATATATGTATATATATATATATATATATATATATATATATATATATATATATATATATATATATATATATATATATATATATATATATACATATATATATATATATATATATATATATATATATATATATATATATATATATAAATATATATATATATATATATATATATATATATATATATATATATATATATATATATATATATGTTTTAATTCATAAGGTGTACTTTTTGTATCCTAACAAAGAATGCTATTGAGTCAATTTTTTAAGGATACAAAAAGTACAATAAGGAGTACCTTATGTATCCTAAAAAAATAATATTCTGATTTTAATACTGTTAACAATTTATTGTAAATAAAGAATGTTTTGGATGATGTATGTATCAAATGGTCTGATGATGTATGTTTTATGCTGCATGATATATGCTGCATGATTTTAAATTATCAATTATCTCAAATGTAAAGAATATTAAGATGATTTGCAACTTATGTGCTAGGCAAAATATATAATGAAAAGTTTTAGATTGATTTAATTATCTAGTTCATAAAACTGAAAAACTTGACAGCATTACCGTGACGCGAAAATATATCCAAAGCTCGTTTTAAACCTAAATCTCCTGCTTATAAAGCAAGCGCTCTAACCACTGCGCCACGGCCGCAATGACTACAACAAATGTATGTGAATCAGTCAAAAAAAAAAGTTTTTCATAGGCCTACCACCTTAAAAATATCTATGTATATATATGTAGACCACACTCGTAAAACCACAGACGGCCTTACATATATATATATTACAAGTTTAGTGATATATATATATATATATATATATATATATATATATATATATATATATATATATATATATATATATATATATATATATATATATATATATATATATGTTAGGCTAGCGTGATAAAGGAGGGAGAGGTGTGACACCCTCCTACCCACCCCATCAAAGATTTTTTCGTTCATTTAGTTGGCAAACTTGACCCTTTTTAACTAGTTAGTTGGCAAATGTAGAACTTTTCGACAAGTTAGTCAGTAAATTTAGACATTCAGTCGGAAAATGTCGTTAAGGCAGTCGGCAAATTTTAAAAAACGAGGACCTTTTTTTTTTGTCAGCAAAAGTTGCAATGATACCCTCCCCCCCACGTGACACATTTTCGCGCCGGCCTTGTATATGTGATGGTTTTGTTGTTTTGAGTCAACTCTGGTGACTAAGATGGTTTTTTTTTATTTTGAAAGCACAAA